CCATGTTGGCCAAGATGGTCTTGATATCTTGACATTGTGATCCACCCGTTTTGGCCTCCCAAAGTGCTGGGACTACAGGTGCGAGCCACCACACCCGGCCGACTTTTGCCTTCTTATAACCACAATATATGTTTTATGAAGAAGATTTTACTGATAGCTCCATTTAGAAAGAATAAATATGAGCTACGGTTTAGGTTTTATGCCCTGGACATACTATTTTTATGATTTCTCTTTGGAGATTAAATTCTCATGTAAATAGAAAAATACTTATTACTTAGAAAAGCAAATTCATTATTGGTTTGAGTTTCTGATGCTGAAGCACAAACTGTTGACTTTCTCTTTGTCTGTCCCCGTCAGTGCCTCTCATTGTCTCCCAGTATGACCTGGCCATGCCCCTGCACTTACCTTCATCCTGCTCAACCATCTCCATGCACTGTCCAATTCCGTCCGTGATTCAGGCTCCTCCCAAGGCTCCCTGAAATGGGTACAGGTCTCAGGACATCAGACACATTCCAGGCACAAAAGTAACCCATACTGTAAAGCGGGCAGCTGTGTTCCCACTTCCCTGAAGTTGGCAGTGATGTCCTAGGACAGGAAGAAATATTTTCCCTTGTTAGTTGGTCTGTTCTTCATGTCTCAGGGTCTGTGATCTAGTGCACACAACTGTCCTGAATGTGAATGAACTTGCTAAATTTCTGGTTTCTTGCTAGGTGGGTAGAAGAGATTTGTAAGACTTCCTTACTGACCCATGTCGGCTAAGTCTGAAATCTTACCAATATGATTCCTTTTCTTGTAAGAGGCAGCATAGGGAAGATTGGCCCCATTGCCATGCAAAGAGAGGTAAAGTGAATTTCTACTCAAAGCAACCTTGAATTTGAAACTGGGTCTTCCACTGTTTCAAAGCTGGACTGTAGGTCCAACTGTGCATATATTTGGACATCATATCTTCATCAGAATCCTCAGGCATGTGTCCTCAAGGGCTTGTGTGACAGCTGTACTCAGGATAAAGTTATTCCTCATTATGTCAAGTTATAATTAATTTGTCAGGATATAATTCATTATGAAGATAAAGTTATTTATCATTATGGCAAGCACAAATTTAGAAGACTTATTACATTTACTTCTTTGTTTCCTCAGCTGGAAACACTCAATAGCTACTGATATCACCAGTGTCCTCTGAATACCTTGACCGTGTTAACTGCTTTGACTCAACATGGAGCAGAGGCATGGGTGTACTGTACCTCGAGATGCAGAAATGCAGCTGAAGTCCAGGGTCACTGGCCCAGGCCATCCACTGAGGTCATCTCATGCGGCATCGGCCACTGGTTCCAATGAACCCACCATCACTACACTTATGAATCACCAGTCACTAGACTGAGAATTGTGTGAAGGTTGGGATCCTATTTTACTCACCTCTGTGGTCATGGTTC